AGGGAAGGTCTCCCTCATTATTTTTTCAAATAAGTTTTCAATTTCTTGCTCTTCCTCTTCTTCTGGCACCCCTATGATTTGGATGTTGAGATGTTTAAAGTTGTCCTGGAGGTTCTGAAGCCTCTCCTCCTGTGTCTGAATTCTTGTTTCTTCATTCTCTTCTGGTTGAATGTTTATTTCTTCCTTCTGCTCCAACTCATTGATTAGAGTCCAGGTTTCCTTCCCTTTACAGTTGGTTCCCTGTGTATTTTACTTTAATTGTATAGCTTTCACTTTTTCCTCTATTTTGCAACCACACTCAACCATTTCTGTAAGCATCCTGATTACCAGTGTTTTGAACTCTGCATCTGACAGTTTGGCTACCTTTTCATTGCTCAGTTGTATTTTTTCTTGAGTTTTGATGTGTTCTTTCATTTGGGCCATATTTCTTTGTCTCAGTGCTTCTGTTGCATTGTAAGGGGTGGAGCCTTAGGTATTCACCAGAGCAGGGAAACCCAGGTCACCACATTGTGGTGCTGTATTTGGGTGAGGGGTCCAAGAGGGAACTATGCTACTCACTCAGCTCTTTCAGTCACTTCCCCCGCTACCCACAAGCAAACTGGGCCCTTCTGGTGCTGATTCCCAGGTGTTCTGGGACCCTGCGGGTCTCTCCAACAAACTCTCCTGTGAGGCCGGGAGTTTCTCCTGCCACTGCAACCTCCACAGGTTTCTACTGCCAGAGGTTTTGAGTCTTTCTTTTCCCACACTGGAACGATGGATTGCGTGGTCTGTCTCACTCCCCAGGTATTCCTTCTGGCTTATCCTCATGCAAATGCGGGATGACCTGGTCTGTCAGCGGCTGCATCGCCCACCAAGTCCTCCAGCCTCTGCCTTGCTGCCACTCCTCTCGGCCCCTCCTACCAGTCTGGATGAATGTTTCTTATTAACTCCTCGGTGTCAGACTTCCATACAGCTCGATTTTCTGGCAGTTCTGGTTGTTTTGGTTTTTAAATTTCTGGTTGTCCATCTTTTGGTTGTGCGAGGAGGCAAAGTGTATTTACCTATGCCTCCATCTTGGCCAGAAGTCCAAAAACTACACTTTAAAAGATGGCTATTGTATAACATGTATGTTAACTGAATATTTTGGGAAATGCCCTGTCTGGTTTCAGGAACTGTAGCCCCACCAACAGGCCAGAGGGTCCCAAGGCTGGAGCTAATCAAGGAGGTCTTGGGAAAACAGGCTACTGAGGAGACAAACCTTTCCCCCTGACAGGAGCACAGCCTCTGACTCCCTCACATCACCCTGCTTGGCTGCAATGGAAGGCTGGTTAATCAATGACGGGTAAGACCACTTGATGGAAGGGGCAACCTAAGACAGGCACAGCCACAATGGGCATCAGGGAAAAACTTGGGGGACATGGAGAAAGGGCAAAAAGACCCTCACCCCTTGGCTTTGATATGGCTTGGGTCCTCATTCTATCTGAAAGAAGTCTCCTTATCTCTAGGTGGCTCTGATTCCCCACCTGGCTCAAGTTTGCAACAATACTGGAGACAGCCCTAAAGTGGATCGGGTGGTTACGGGGAAAATCAGGCCTAGAAGTAAATTCCTTGAAGCATGGTTTGTTTTCTCTCAAAAGCTATTATAACCAGCTCATGCTGGGAAAGAAATTTACATTATTCGCAGACCCTAACCCTAAACCCTTTGGCACTATTATGTTTACACTTTCATGTTTATTCATCTCCTCTCAGACCCACGTAAATCAGTGTGTTCCTGCCATTTGTTTTCTTCAAAACATCATCTATTCTCTATAAACATTAATATATTACTGTAATGAGATCACGCCTATTACCTAGCCCTGTTGATAACCCTTTCAATAAAAGCCTTTGAACAAAGGAGCTCGGGGCCTTCTCCACTAGAGGGAAAAGCCATACCCCTCTCCTGGCAGATAGAGAAATGTCTGGGATGACTCATTTCATTTCCCCCCATCTGTGACAACCCCCGGACAGACTGTGCAGGAACCAGAGTCCACACTCCCACCTCAGCTGGCCCCCTAGACAGGGACCCTCAGATCCAGAGTCCGGCATCCCTCCCACAGAATAGATAAAAACATTGCATTCTTTTTTGAGTATGGATGAAGAACAATTTGGTAGGATTTTGAAATTTGATTTTTTTTTTTACAGATTGTACACTTAGCTGTAAAAACTTACATTACCTTTAAGCACAGCTACTCTCTCATGTGCAATTAGAATTTTTTAAATAGAATGGATTTCCCAAAACACCTGTCTACAGAAAAAAATCTATGAAGCAAATAGTGAACAGACATATTTATTCAAATTTATATTTTAGGATAAAAATTGATGTTAACTGAAGTTTCATCATGAAAATACTATTTTAATAATGAAATATACAAGATCTGTCTGGAGAATGTCCAGCCATTGTCATAAAAAGAACAGTGTGTGGGACTTCGATGTAACCTGGAAGCCAAGGAGAATGGACGGGAATACGTGTGTGCAAACAATGATGACTTCACTACACTAGTCACTGGGGGCAGTGGACGCCATTGAGTGAACATGTGTACTGTGTGGCTGTCACATTCAAAATTACTGAGTAAGTAGAACGATTAATGTGTATAAAATTCTGCATGAATCTTGAACATTCCTCTGTGGAAACTATTTGGATGACTCAGAAGGCCAAAGCTATGGGCAACTGGTGACTGGCAGCTTCTTCCTGACAACATGCCTGCTCATGTCTCCTGCAGAGATTTTTCACAAAATATAAAATTATCCAGGTGATTCAGCCCCACTACAGCCCAGATTTGGTGCCTTTCAACTTCTGGATTTTCCCAAAACCAAAATCACCTTTGAAAGGGAAGAGACTTCAAACCATCTATGAAATTCAGGAAAATACGATGGGGCAGCTGATGGTGATTAGAACTGTGTGAAATGCCAAGGTGTCTAATTTGAAGGGGACTGAGGCATCATTGTCCTATGTACAATGTATCTTGTATCTTCTTCAATAAATGTCTCTATTTTTTGTATTACGTGCCTGGATACTTTTTGGACAGACGTCTCATATCTATCTTCAAAACCAAGTACTCTATTTTGACAACATATCAAAAATCTAAATCTCTCTTGCCTGTTCAAGATAACCGAAGTCAACATGGTTTTACTGTTAGAGACTCATAAAAAGAATAGCTGTGATGACAATTTATACTTGTTAAAAGTTTGCACTGCTTTTAAAAGTGCCTTTTTAGAAGTTTAAAGAAAATGCTTAATTTTTTAAATAATCAACCTTAAAAACTTTAAAATATTTTTATTTACTATATACCCCAAACAAATACTTTAAAAAATATAGAAATTAATTTTTTCTAAGCCACAATCATATAGAAATTTTCTATCAAATGTAAACCAATCAGTTTTTGGAGTTTTGATGGTAACCTGGGGAAAAAAAAGTCTTTCTATTTTACATGAATGTTATTTTTCTAGGTATGTGATATATTAAATGCCTACAATGCTAAAAATAAAATATTCAAATAAATTACTCTCCTCCCCAAATTATCTGAACATAAGCATGTTAATAGTTCAAAAGTTATACATACAATAACATTATATAATAATATGAAATTGAGTATTAAATCATATGTACAATATTATCCTTAGGTACATGAATAAATTCTTAGACAATCTGAACTGAAAAAAAAAAAAAAAGCTGAAATAGTCTGGTGTATCTCTCCATACCATGCCCCTCTCCTTTCTTGGAGAGAGAACGAAAACATCATTCTCTACACTTGCTTCTCTTTGTGAATTCTTTCACAGCCCGTGTCACCAACCACCCTAATATTTTGGTGGCCTGTACAGGGACATTCCCTATTTCTTCCTCTCCTCTAGTCTCCTGAGACTTGCAACTAGGGGAGCAGTGGGCAGCAGAAGCTCGACCCAGATTAACCCCCTAATCCTGTCTCTGTAAGGTTCAGAGAGAGGACTCCAGTCCTTCTCCATCTCTCTAGACTCTATGGACAGCCTCTTCTTCACTCATCTTTACAGCCAGCAATTGGCCATATCTCCTCAAATATATCCTTCAATGGAACATCCTAGCTTGGGAGATTAAATGGCCTCTGGCCACAGCTCTCACTTTCCTGGCTCTCCAATTCCACCCTCTTCTCCTTAACGACCCGTACCTGGTCCCACTGGCAGGACAGCTCTACACCCCTAGACAGCCTGAACTAGTCATAGAAGAAGAGCTCTTCCTATTTCCCAGAACCAGAACCGGGCCAGGTCATTAAGAATAAATCCACTATAAAACTAGAGGGGGTAATGACAGGACAAAGCCGGCACCATTTGCCTAGTGGGCCTGTGACCTTGTTAAACAGGACTGCCATTTTACTCTTCTGAGCTTGTCTGCAGGACTGGAAATTACTGGAAGCAAGAACAGAACTAACCGGTCCCTACAGCCATAGACAGAAGGTTAGCATTGGAACAAACTGCAGCCTCAGGTGCAGCCCAGGGGTCAAACAACTGCAACCCCCTCTTTTTGATCCAATTATAATTCAACGAAAGCTCAAAGATCCCACCCCTCAACACGGGTGCATCTCTCCACACCATGCCCTTCTCCTTTCTTAGAGAGTGAATAAAAACTTTCCTCTTAAAAAAAAAAAAAGGCTGAAATTAAAAAGGTAAAAAACTCGTTAACAGAAACAATATGATCATGTGTTGTTTTACATATATTTTTATTCTTTATGTATCTTTACCTTCTACCACCTCCACAACAGACACATTGTAACTGAAAGGTAAAACAACAAATAGAACAAAATATTGTACTTTCCAACTGTAGATTTTATAGGTAATTGTTTCTAAAAACAAAACTTACCCAGAATAAATATAATACAAAATTTGTGTTCACATTAATTCTAACATAGGGTTATTTGACATTAAATATAACTACCTATATTAGTGTAAATCAACAGGTTATACCAAAATGTAAGAAAGTGAAATGATTGTTTCCAAATTATATTAAGGCTTACCTTCACAAAGTTTCTGCTTCATCACCTCCCTTATTTTGGATATCACAATATAGTCTTCCACATAAAACACATACGTAGATGAAGGTTTGTTGGCAATAGCTCTAAGTTCTGCATCTTCTGTTTCTGAACCAACACCGATGGCAAATAATATAATTTTATTATCTCTGGCTGCTTCTGCCGCATCTTTGACTTCATCTTGGGATTTGCCATCCGTAAGTACTACTGCTATCTTAGTCAGAAATCTTGAGGACTTGGCAAAAAGGTAATCAAGTGCAAACTGGATTGCCTTTCCAGTCCTTGTGTTTCCTCCTAAGTAGTGTATGGATTCCATCGCTGCCATCAAATTCTCTCCTGAATCATGGCTTCCAAGTGGAATCTCCAGTACAGGATAGTCACTATACTGGACCACTCCAACCTGAATAAACTTTGGTCCTATGTCAAAGTTTTTTGTGATATTGACAAGCCACTTCTTCACTATTTCAAAGTTTTCTGGGCCAACACTATATGAACCATCTAAGATGAAAACTAAATCTGTTGGAGCAGTACGACAACCTAAGTGAAAGAAAATATCATCAGAAAAAAACGTTATATAAAAAGCAAAAAGTGGAAAGTTTTAAATGCATGGTTTTTTAATTAACCAGATGGACGAAGTTCTTTCATAATGCATATGTATATGAAATCACTACAATGAATACTTTAAATATCATATAACTTACATATTAATTATATCCCAATAAAGCTAATTTTTTTAAAAGATCATAGTAACTATTTATAGGAGCTTTGTGAAGATTAAGATACAGTGCTTAGCTCATGAAAATTCTTTGTAAATGGGGGCTATTATTTTTGTTGCTATTTTTAATTATCTTATTTTTTATTTTATCTTCATTGTATTTTTTCCCATTACCACTTAGTCCCCTTATAAGTCCTCTTATAGTCCCACCCCCAGCAATCACCACACTGCTGTCCATGGCCATGAGTCCTTTTTCCTTTTTGCTCAATCCCTCTGCCCCTTACCAGCTGTCATCTGCTCTCCATCTATGAGTTCGTCTCTGTTTTGCTTGTTGGTTGAGTTTGTTAATTATCTTATTTAAAATTAGTGACTCAGTTTTAAAAGTACAGAATAAAATATGCATGCTGTATATGAACATAATATCTAGGTATTTCTTTGTAGGTACAAGTATAAACTACCATAAAGCAGCATTTTATTCTATTTCTCCATTGAATAAAAGAAAATAAATATGTAAATGCATTATTTTCAGCTATACATCAATATCACTGTTGTAAGTTATCAATGAAATATGTTTTATCTAATACTATCTGAAATATGTACAAATATATATTAGCCAATTAATAGGGAGAAAGAAAGTAAAATAAACTTTCTGCCAACTTCAAGACTCAAGCAGCCACTAAAGATTCATATTCTTTAATACAGTTCATAAAAGTGAAATGAACCTAGATCACCAAAGCCATCATTCTTGCACTGCATGCAAAGCAAGTTTTTAAAGGTCTGATCTTTCATCTTCAGTGAATAATGTCGTCAAACATTAGCTTGTGCTAAGCAAATCTATATTCAAGGTTATAAAGTTATTTCTTTATCCATTAAGATTCTTGTTTCAAGATACCAGGAAACAGTATGATCAGCACATTTTATAGTTCTATTGGGAAAAAGACTAACTCTGGTGTAAGTTATATCTAGACAAGTTCTAAGCACTTACAGAAAGAAAGAAAAACAAAAAACTTTACTCTCTTTTCTACAGCACACAACATGCCTCTAACTCTTCTCTCTTTTTTCTTCCTTCCTTCTTTCTTTTTATGCATATGTATACTGAATACCTATTCTGTCCCTGATATCATGCTAGGTACTGGCTTCACAGATACATAAGATTTCTCAAAAAGGTCATGGTTTAGTAAGACAGACGACTGGCTGGTTGGGGAAAGTACAAACCATTATGAAAACATTTAGGAGGGGTTTGTAACCTAATGGTGGAAAGCCAAGGCTGGTTGTGTGTGAAAGCCAACAGGCAACCTGAAATCAGAAAGGACAGCTTTGGCCAGGTGAAGAAGAGGACATTTTAATCAGAGGGAATAATGCAAAGGTCCAGAGATGAGACACAGACACAGCCAAAGAGACAAACTAATTTGTTTGGAGAGCTCCCATAATTGAAATGGCCAACAGAGTGCACAGGAAGGAACTGCTATATTCGCTTTTTGTATCTCTAACTTCTGAACACAAAACAGCAAAAATATTACTGTTCATGGCCATTCTGATAAGGATCATGTGCCCCTGGATTTGATGAGTTGGAAGAAAATGAGATGAACCAAGGGAATATGTAGCAAATTTTAAGTCCTGTGTTTTTACTCATATTAAATTGTCTCCCTTAAGTTGTGATTAAATGCCCAATTTAAAGTTACAATAAAGATGAGTTATATTCTGTATATATTTTAAACAAGAAATCACAATTGCAAAGAATGGTATTGGAAAATATTTAGTGACAATCAGCATGAGAATTTTTGTATCTCCTTAGCAGTAAATTATTAATCACTGTCTCTCTTTTCATCTCTTCCACTTCCTCATTCCTCTCCCTTCTTTCCATCCTGTTTCTTATCTTTGCCTACTCACATGTTTGAGATGATGATGACAAGGCTCAAATGAAGAGTCTTCAATGTTACAGTTACCTCAAAGTACCCATCACAGTAACCAGCAAAAATAAACACTATTGTCAGGTGAGCATGTACAACAGTCAAACTGCTACTAAAAACAAAACAAAACAAAACAACACAAAAAACTGCCTAAGCATGGGTTGGATTTGTCTCAAAAATGTCAGCGTGGTTATGATGTTACGCCTAAGGTGCTCTACGGCGGGTGGTGGCGTGGGGCAGAAGGGCGCTACTTTAACAACCTCTGCCATGGTGACCACTGCCAGAGTTCATGGCAGGGACACCAGAATGGAACTTGGCCCAAAGACAACTTTCCTAACCTAAGGGAATGCAGTTCTTCTGTTATTTTTGGACACTGGTCTGGGGTTATGGTTTTTTGGAGGTTTTTAAAGGACAGGAAAGTTGTGTTTGCAGACCTCTTCAATGTTGCTCTTCCTAAATACTATGAGATTCATTATTGTCTGGGCCTGCTAATGTTTGTCTGACACTTGATTCTGTGGTTAACTGTTACAGGCTTATTCTTGGCCCTTCCTACACCTTTCCAGAGCCATAGAACATATATTTCATACCTGTAAGGTTAGCCAAGACCATGGATGCAAAAAGCAAATATTGCTGTTGATAAACAACAGACAAAATACCACTCCAAGAGATCTGCTCCTTAGGGAGGTGAATCACCAATGTCATAGAAAAGGAATGGACCAAAATCAAAAGCATAGTTTAAATATTAGTTACAGCTCTAACAAGCTGTATGACACTAGGTAAGCCTCTTAAATTTTGTGAATCTCTTTTCCCCCTCGGGAAAAAAAAACAAAAAACAGAGAAAAGCATCTACCTTTTAGAGTATTAGGTGGATTAAACTATAAAAGTAGTATGCAAACATTGTTTTAATAAATTTTAAGCCAAGTTAAATCGAAGTGTTAAGCCATCTGATTTAACTGTCATAGAAACCATAATTAATTTATAGTAGGGCATTATATTTATAAGTTTTAAAATATGTAAATAAGTAAACTCTTAAAAAGAAGTATGATATTTGTAACTGGTTGCCTGGCCAGCATAACTACATGAATTTATCTCTCCTTCTGTAATGAAAGTTTTCCTACAGGCAATCAGAATAGTCACCATTTACTGAGATGTCACTGTGCTAAGCCATTTAAATGCATTATCTCCAAAATTACCTCCGATAGAAGTTTTTCCTCTCAGTTAATGTGTAACAAAGCAATTCATTCATTTTAGGAAATTACATCATAAAGACACTAAGAATAAGATCCTTAATAAGCTCTCCATACTTGATTTGTACAATCAATGTGTTGATAACAAAAAGGGGCAATGCTAATAGTTCTTACTTGATCTTATTTCCCCATCTTCAGCTGATACAGAATTCTTAAGTAGGGCCAAAACTATCCAAAGAAATGTAATATGATGAGCCATGTTTCTGTTTTCCTTCTAATATTTTGACTTTAGGATTCCTAAAAAAAGAAAAAGAAAAAAAAGTCAAATATTTTAGAAAAATTGACAAATATCTAGCCATGATAAATTTAATTTTAAAATTGCAATACCACGTTTGAGTACAGTTAATTTTTACTATGCTTAAAATTAATTTGTGTATCTAAAATAGCCACATTTTAAATATATTATGCAAGAGGACAATTCATGTCTTCTTGTAATTCATAATTATCTTGTAATTCATAATTATCTTGAAAAATTATAAACATAAAACTTTGTACTTTGCTCAAAATATTCACTAGAATTCCTTTTACCCTATTTTGTAAAGCCTTATCACATTCTTATTATCATTTCAATCGTAGCAAACATTCTTTTAAATATGGATTTGCATTTTAAAAACACTCAAAGGGTATCTGGTAAAAATATTTATATGATAAAGCTAAGGGATAGAGTTTCATTTTTTAATGGAGTATAATTATAAACCTTAAGATATATTTTATTTGACTTATAAGCACTTCATTATATGATTTTAATGTATCTTTTAAGTTAGTCCAAGGACTTCACTTCTGGTTAGAATGTGGAAAATTGCAAGACTTTCACTCCCAACAATAAGAACATGCCAGGTTAATTATAAAACTATAGTATTTTTAAACCCAGAAAAAAAAGACAGGATTTAAACAAACTTATATGAACCAAATGCCAAAAGTTATTAACTTTATAAGGTAGAAGATTCAGAGATGCCGTTGTCCCTAGCAGAAAGGGAAACCTCTTGAAGGAGAAGAATTGAACAAAGCATGGAAGAAACAAAGCAAAACTAGTGAGACAAATTAGAATCCTGAGGGGCCCCAGCCACAGAATAACTATGTCCCACCCAGCAATTCTTCCCCATGAATTTTGAATGCATGGAGGAGACAAGTAATACAAAGAGCAGTTTAAAAAGCCTAGAGATCGTCCCCCTGTTCAGATACCCAGGGTCTATCTCAAATACAAATCCTTGGCTTCCGAAACGCTGGGAGAGAAGCAACAGAATTTGAGAGAAGTCCCTGCAAGGCACTCTAGTCCTTTCCACAGTGGAGAGAGAGATTTTGAGAGGCATAAAGCCAAAGAAGTACAAGAGAAAAACACAACTCAGAAATACAAAAAGCAGAAAGCCATACTGAAAAGCTGAAAGATATCTCTCAAGGGTATCCCAAAATGTAAGATGAAGCAACAAAATCGGATTACTAATTAGGAGAAAACACTCAGTATAAGCAGATCCCGAGATGATCTAAATGTCAGATATATCAAACAAGGTTTATAAAACAACTATTATAAATTTGTTAAAAGATTTAATAAATAAAATGGACCAGAGGGTGCAAAAATACAGAAAATTTTAGAAGAGGTGGAAACTATAAAAAAGGATAAAAACAAATGCTTATAAAATATATATATATCAAAAAATAATTTAGGCAATGGGCTTAACTGCCTATATATAAGGAAAAAATCAATAAACTTAAAGATTAAGTTTATTTAGTTTAGTTTAGTTAAGATTAAGTTTAAAGATTAAGTTGGAATAGAAATTATTCCAAATGAAACCCAAAGCAGGGGGAGGATGATAATAAAAGGAGCAAAATATCGGAAATTATGGGAAAATACCAAGTAATCTTGATTTAGCACACAAGTAATTAGTTTTTGAGATGGAAGGGAGAAAGTGAATGAAGAGATATATGAAAATAAAATGGCCAAGAATTTTCCAAATTGACAAACATTACAAACAATCAGATCAAAGAAGTTGAACAAAGCCCAAGAAGATATAAAGTGTGTCATACTTAGGTACATCATAATCAATTGAAAATAAGAGTAAAAGAGAAAATTCTTAAAACTAGCCAGAGAAAAAAGACACATTACATACAGAGGGACAATAATAAGAATTTTAGATAGAATTTCATAGTAACAAAATTGGTAATAGATCAGAAAGATAAAAATCTTAAATGTGCAAACCGCTAGTAATAAAGCTTCAGAATGCATGAAGCAAAAAAAAAAAAAAAATTTAAGCTAAAAAAGAAAAAGGCGAATTCAAGTCATAATGTGAGATTTCAACACCAGCCTTCAGCAATTATTGAATTAGACAAAAAATCAGTAATGATTCAAATGGTCTGAAAAACAGCTACTTTTCACCTAGTTGATATATAAAGAACATTGCAAATAACAGCAGCAGAATGTACATTTTTTTGTAATGCATATAAAATAGTCACCAAAATAGATCCTATGCTGGAGAAAAAGCAAGCCTTTCAAGTTCCAAAGAATTGATATAATACAGCTTATCTTCTTTGACCAAAATGATATTAAATTTAAAAAGGAAAGGAAGAATATCCCAAAATATTTGAATATTTAGCAATATACTTTTAAAAAATCCATAAATTAAAAAGAAAAAAAGGATTACTAAAGCTCTGTAGTATAATGTGAAATCAGGGAGCACATATCTCCAGCTTTGTTCTTTCTCAAGATTGTTTTGGCTCTTCAGGGTCTTTTGAGGATCAATTTTAGGATAATTTATTCTATTTTGTACAAAATGCCATTGGTATTTTGATAGGGATTGCACTGAATCTGTAAATTGCTTTGAGTAGTATGGACATTTTAAAAATATTAATCCTTCTAATCCATGAGAACGGTAAATTCTTCCATTTATCTGTGTTATTTTCAATTTCTTTCATCAGTGCCTTATAGTTTTCAGAGTATGGGTCTTTCACCTCCTGGGTTAATTTTATTGCTAGGTATTTTATTCTTTTTGATGCAATTTTAAATGGAATTTTCTTAATTTCTCTCTCTGATAGGTTAATAGCATAAAGAAATGCAACAGATTTCTACATGTTAATTTTCCATTCTGTAACTTTACTGAATTTATTTATTAGTTCTAATAGTTTTTTGGTGAAGTCTTTAGTGATTAAACCAGTGTGGTAGTGGCCCAAAAACAAGACATAGATCATGGAACAAAATAGAGAACACAGAAATAAACCCACACATAAGGTCAATCAATCTGTGATAATGGAGGCAAGCGTATACAATTTAAAAAATGACAGACTCTTCACTGTGCAGATACATGCAAAAAAATAAAATAAATCTGGATGACATTCTTACACTATATACAAAAATAAACTCAAAATACATTATGAGCTTAAACATAGAACCTAAAATCATAAAACTCCTAGGGAAAAAAAAACAGGCAGTAAACCCTTTGACACTGGTCTTAGCAGCTTTTTTCTGGGTATGTTTCTCTGGAAAATAGCAAAGAAAGCAAAAATAAACAAATGGAATTTTATCAAACTAAAAAGGTTTTGTAAGCAAAGGAAACCATGAATAAAACAAAAAACAACCTATTAAATAAGTTATTTGCAAATAATATATCCAATAAGGGTTAATATCTAAAATATATAAAGAATTCATACATCTCAACATCAAAAATAAAAACAAACTAATTAAAAATAGGCTGACTTCAATGGACATTTCTTCAAAGAAGATATACAGATGGCCAACAGACATGTGAAAAGATGCTCACCAATCACTAGTCACCAGAGAAATGCAAATCACAACCACAATGAGACATCACCTCACACTTGTTAGAATGGCTATTATTAACAAATGACAATTATTGGCATGGATGGAGGTTCCCCAAAAACTAAAAAATGAAATTGCCATATGGCCTTGCAATTGCACTTCTGGATATATATCCAGAGAAAATGAAAACAGTAATTCAAAAAGATGTATGCATCCCTATGTTTGTTGCAGTATTATTTACAATGGCCAAGATATAAAAGCAATCTAAGTGTCCATAGATGAATAGATAAACATGAGCTGGCATATATACCCAATGGAATATTACTCAGCAATAAAAAAGAATAAAATCTTACCATTTGTGATACAGATAGACCTAGAGAGTATTACGCTAAGTGAAATAGGCTAAACAGAGAAAGACAAATACTACATAATTTAATTTATATGTGAATTATTAAAGAGAGAGAGAGAGAGACTCATGGCTACAGAAAACAAACTAATGTTTTGAGTGGTGGGGAGGATGTGTGGAAAATATGAAGAGGAATAAAAGGTACAAACTTTCAGTTATAAAATAAATAAGCCATGGAGATGTAACGTACAACACAGGGATTGTAGTCCATAATATTATAATAACTTTGTACAGTGACAGGTAGCTACCAAAGTTTTCATGGTGATCACTTTGTAAGGTATATAAATGTTGAATCACTATGTTGTGTACCTGAAACTAATATAATATTTGTATATCAACTATGATAAAAAAGTCATAGGGTATATTTAACAAAGTTCAAATTGATCAATAATTATTTTTTTGTATACAATCCAGTAATTTACTCTAATTTAACAATTATACTTCATAATGTATTTTTAGGAAAAAGCTCATTTTCTTAATGACTCAGTTTTAGAAAGAGGAGAAAATGTTCTGAATAGTGTAGTGGGGAAAATCTTTCTTCCATCACTTAAATATTCTTTCCCATACACATATAAATTTAATCAGTGCAATATTTTTAATGTTTAAAAAATGTTGGATTTGTGTTTAGCATTTCCACTAGAATTTTTTTAATTTTTTATTTTTGTCATGTTTATTCTATTACAGTTGTCTCAATTTTACCCCCTCTGCCTTCCTCCACCTATCCCACCCCGCCTCCCTCTCCTACAGTCAATTCCTACTGTGTTGTCCATGTCACGGGTCATTCATACATGTTCTTTGTTTAGTCCCTTCTTCTTTCCACCATTGTCTTCCTTCCCCATCTCCTCTGGTCACTTTCAGTCTGCCCCATGTTTCCATGCCTGTGGTTTATTTTGTTTATCAGTTTATTCTGTTGAATAGATTCCATTTATAGGTGAGATCATATGGTATTTGTCTTTCACCAACTGGCTTATTTCACTTAGCGTAATATTCTCCAGTTCTTTCCATGTTGTCACAAAAGGTATGAGTTCCTTATTTTTTTTTAAATGCAGATTGATTTTATTTACTTATTTATTTAAATGTCAA